CCGCCGGTCTCCACCCCCGCCCGCCATTTTGTCTGCCGGCCGGCGTCCCCGCGCCCGCGGGGCGGGCGGAGCGCTTCCCTCCGGGGCGGCCGGGGAAATGGCAACGTGCTCTGTGGAGGCGGTGGAGAAGTCCAGGCGTGAGGAAAGGAAGCGAAGGCAATTACGGCAGTCGGGGTGGAAAGCGAATAAGCGCCCTGCGTTACCTCAGGCTAACCTTGCGAACGGTACCGGTCAGCTTGTAGCGCAGAGATCCTCAATCTTCGCTTCTTTGTGGGGCGGCAAAGCGCGGAGGCCCGAGTCGAAATCCGTGCGTCGTCTCTGAAATAGAGGTCGCTGGGCGTCGGTTTACCTGATGGCCATAGTTCTAAAAACTGAGAGTCCGGCGAGTATGGGCTAGACAAATGGCGGAGATTTATGTGGTAGTGCCAACTTTCATGAGTATGTTGTGGCGTAGTTTTCTTACCAAGTTACATTTCAAAGAAACTTTGACAATATGGAGGAAAAAACCCAAAATGCACCACCTGTCACGTTTGGAAAAGAAACCCCATGAAATTATTGCTAAAATTATGGTATCCATCTGTTTTCTTACATGCAGTGTTTTAAATAAAAGCTCTGCATTTTATTTTTATTTCAGTAAAAGTGGAGTTTGATGCTACCATCTCTGTTGCAAGGAAACAATTTTAAAGTAGCCTTTCTTGCTAGTTATGGAGTATCTAAGGGAAGATTTTTCTGCTCACCAACATAACACATTAAGGCAGGTTGAAAGAACTACGGATTTGAGTGGTGAGATGTACTTGCACTAGCTTTTATTTAGAAAATCTGGAAAATAGAGCAATTTGGAACAGTAAGGAATTATTACAGATTGTTTTGAGAGGCAGAGTCTATTGAAGCAGAAGACAAAAGCAACATGAAACTTTTTTGAATATTTAAAGTGTATCAAATGAAAATGTTCACATAAAGTAGAATTAAGTGCAAAGGTTAACTTTCATGAAGAATTTCTTTTATAAATTGCAAAAAAATATAATAGAAATGAATTTGCAGTAGGTGAACTTACAGACACTTAAGGAACAGTTATGGGAATAACCAGGAGATTTGGACTGGAATGTTTTCCTACACCTGAGTTTTAATGCGTAAAGTAAACTGCCAGGAAAATGCAGCAATAACTTTTTATACTTCTGAGTTCAGCGCTTCCTGAAGCTGGAGAGCAATCTGAATTAGTTCAGGTGCAATTTTCTGGGACATTCTCTGAGTTTCATGGAATAATGTAACTCTTGAATAGTTACAGATTCAGAGTAGAATTTAGCTGCATAATTCTAATTGAACGGCTTTTAAAAACGGGGAATTCTCACCAACTTTTTTGACCCAAAATGCTTTTTTCTTAGTGTTACTGTACCGGGACAAGCCAGTTGTAATTCTGAGTCAGATAATCCTCATATACATGTATATTGATGTCTTCATCAGAACTTCAGGAGGTTTGTAATGCTGGCTTTCTCATTATGGAAGCAAAATCAACACGCCCACCTTGGCGTTATGTTTATTCGTATATCTGCTTGTTCTAGCATTGTTATAATCTGTGCTAAAATGTCCTGTACAGATTACAGTTTCACAAACCTGTAGTTCTCCTTGGAAACTGTCGTAATAAATGGGTATCATATTTGCCATGCAAGGAAATTTTAAGTGGGAGCTTAGCCTAATAATTAATACTTCAGCTATTCATCATAGCTTTCTCTTAGAGGCTTTATGTGAGTGTCACTTGGCCCTGGTTATTAGTGCTTATTTTGTCCATAGATACACCATAGCCTGTTCATACAGATCCTGTTCTGTCCCCCTCACAAAAAACCACTGTGACATGCAACCTAACTAGGCTTCTTCCACAATGAATAGCCATGAAAAGAGCCCATTTAAGCATGCCTGCAAATGGCCTTGTCATTTCTGAGTGCCTCTTTATTCCTTGACCATTAATAGGTAATAGAACTCTAGGACACCTTTTGCCCCCGTTTGTAGATTTAGTTGTGATTCCTTTAGCTAGTTTTTCAGATTTTTTTTCCTCCATCTAGTTATATGTTTAATTTTATGTGTCAGAGTTTACAGTTCTTTCTTCATTTGCTAATTCTTAAGTCTATTGGAGGATGCTTTCCCATTTCTGTTAACTTCCCTTGCCGTTTAGGCAGCCAGGCCTCTTTTTTTCCCCCTTTCTCAAGCCTTTCCTAATTGGAATTAATAGCGCAATGGTGCTCTGCTTCCTGTATGGTAGTCTGCTTTATCATCTTTTTAACAAGTGTTCTTATTTTAATGTCGCTCTTCTCTTCCTGTAGTGGATTTTACGGTGTTTGTTGCTGTTGAAGAGATGCTGAATATAGGTATAAAGATCCATGTTACACAGTGGCACTTCAGTGGTGAGATTTTTGTACCAGATGAAGATCTTTCACGTTATTCAAGACCCAGTAAACGGTTCATTTTCTTCTTGTGGTCTCCCAGCCAGCTGATTCACAAAGCAATCAGCGATATGGTTTAAAAATTTCTTCTCTACTTAACATCACAAGGTAATTTTTGTTCAGTCTATTCAGAGATAATTTTGGTCACTCGGTGGAATTGCAGTTCTTGTCCTAATGCTATTATACATTTTTTCGGCATACCACAGCTGGTGTTGCCCTCCTGGTGGGGAGAGTGGTGCCACAGTACTACATTGCTGCTACTGGGCTTGGACCTGCCATCCATACAGATTTTGTGTTACACAATAACGCTGTTAATTACAAAGATAGTAAACAGTGTGTAGTAGAGAATATAACCCCATGTCCTGGTTTTGGCTGGGGTAGACTTAATTTTATTCATAGTAGCTGGTATGGGGCTGTGTTTTGGATTTGTGCTGAAAACTGTTTTTCTCTTACAGCAGAAGTGAACTGAATAGCTTTGGGCTGACAGGCTCTGCTCAGGGGTCCTAAAGTGCCCAGTAGTTTCATTGTTCCAGAGGAATGCATTTCTTATGGGAGGTCATAGCCATGGACTAAAAGAGATGGTCTCTCATAGCTTAGACTAATCCTATGAATGGCTTTGATGGTTAAAACCTAGACCTTGAATTTCATTGGTATTCAATTGGTATTTTCATTGTGTAGCAAGCACAGTACAACAGAGGAGGGGCAGCAGTGCTGACTATTGTCATTAACTAGGTGTGCCGGTTTTGGCTGGGATAGAGTTAATTTTCATCATAGTAACTAGCATGGGGCTATGTTTTGGATTTCTGCTGAAAACTGTTGATAACACAGGGCTGTTTTGGTTATTGCTGAGCAGTGCTGACACAGAGTCAAGGCCTTTTCTGCTCCTCATCCCACCCCACCAGCGAGCAGGCTGGGGGTGCACAAGAAGTTGGGAGGGGACACATCCAGGACAGCTGACCCCAGCTGACCCAAGGGATATTCCACACCATATGGCGTCATGCTCAGCACATAAAGCTGGGGGACGAAGAAGGAGGGGGGGGGACGTTCGGAGTGATGGCATTTGTCTTCCCAAGTCACCGTTACGCGTGATGGAGCCCTGCTTTCCTGGAGATGGCCAAACACCTGCCTGCCGATGGGAAGCAGTGAATGAATTCTTGTTTTGCTTTACTTGCGTGTGCAGCTTTTGCTTTCCCTATTAAGCTCCCTTTATCTCAACCCACGAGTTTTCTCACTTTTACCCTTCCAATTCTCTCCCCCATCCCACCCGGGGGGGGAGTGAGCGAGCGGCTGGGTGGGGCTTAGTTGCTGGGAGGGGTTAAACTGTGACACCCCACCAGCGTCAGAGTTTACTCACTGTCTTTCCTGTGTATATTGAATCCTGGTACTACAGTGTTTTGTTGATTGACTTCATTCTGGTAAGTTTCTGATAGGCTGATGTGTCATTGTTGCCTTTTTAGGACTATGTTGCATATTTCCACACAGATTAATGTTAGAAGGGACAAAAGC